TGCTGTCGTGACTGTGTTGACCGTGCATTGACTCTTTTTGCAGGGCCTTGCTTAGAGAAAGACATAATGTCCTCCCTGCTTCATAGCCTTTCTCCCTCTTCGTTTTCCTCGCCATAATCATAGCATGCTGATCAATGCCTTCATGACAAGTGGGATCTCAACAGAGGTTCCCATCAGTGGAGAAGAGAGGATGGTGGGTTATCGCCAAGTGGTGCTTGAGTGTAAATTAGCAAGGTAGGTGTCTGAGCTGGCACTTATCAAGGGTGGATGGTACACATGGAGGCAAGGATCAATGGAGTTGCTGTTGCAAAGGAGGTGTAAGAGAAATGGTCAAGTTGTGTGGGAGTCCCCTGGAAGGAGAAGATTTTACCTAACTGGGACAGCTTTGATACAGCAACTTCACACGTGCTTTGCTCCAGTTTTGCAACCAATTCTTGCCCTGTCTTCTGATGTGTGGCCTCAAAATGGCCTGTGATTTCAGTGCTGAGCTGCATTCTCCATGTCATGCTCTGTACTATTAGATTGTCCAGACAGGAACCTCCAATGTCCTTGTGGCCTTTTATTGTTCAAGATGCTATAGAAACACTTTGTGGTTTATTCAGGCAGGCTACTTGATGAAGAAATGGGCCGGACTTCCTTTCAAGAGTTGCCAATGTTGACGTCTTGTCTGGGCATGTACTCCCCAAAGTTTTGTAGACCTGGCACCATGCAGCAGCTCAGGGCACCATGGTGTATGCCCATGCTGTGAATATTGTGCCACTGATGAGTGTTTTCATCATAACACTCAACGCTGGAAGCAATATCTAAATCACTGTAGCCACCAACCACAAACAACAGACCATCCACCACTTCAATGCCAAAGTTCTGGTGAGGTATCAACGTGCTGGGAACTGTGCGCCATGTCTTGGCAACAGGGTTGTAAACTTCTGTGCTCCGAAGCCAGTTGGCTCCATCAAATCCTCCGACCTAAGAATGACAAGGGTACAGAGTTGAAATGGGCCTTTCCTCACCCACTGAGTCAGCTGAACCATTCCACGCACAAGTCGGATGGTGACCGGTCCTGCCTCGCTGACTTCAGCTGGAGCACTGCTGAGAGCAGGTGAGCTCAAAACACAGTGCCTGCTTGTTGCAGGCTGCTCCCTTGTTCTTTCTGGAGCTTCCAAAAGTATTTTGGGCAATTGTCAGGTTCTACACTTCCACAGAGTTCAAATGCAGTACCTGGATTGGACAACCAAGACCAAGCGAATGTTCTGTGCTGTTAAAGCTGTCAGCAGCAGCAGCAAATATTTTCTTTGCTGCAGCTGCTGGAAAACTGTCCACAAGGTTTTCATAACAAAAACTGTGCAGGTGATAGTGTTCTCAGGAGGTGGATCAACCATTCTGTCTCTGACCTTCTTCCCTAAATCACACCTACAAGCAAATAGCCAGCCTGAAAATCTAGGAAATGCAGATTAGCAAAAGTCAGTCCTACAAGTGCTGGGTGGTGTTACAGCAGAGGTACCACCTCTCCCTTACCGCATACACTTCTTTTCCATATGCAGTCACAGCTAGTCAGCTTCTTCCACTTCCCATCATAGCTATGAAGGTCCATTGATTCTTTGTGGCATCATATACTTCAGCCGTCATCAAGTGTTCATTTCTGTTGAACCCACCACATATATAGACCTGTTTACAGGAGAAAAAAAAAAACCAAAAAAACAGTGTGAGCAGGGCAGTGATACCCTTGGTGGGAGAACACAGGGAGGAGAAAATGAATGGTGGGGCCAGATTTGGGGTGGGGTGGGTTGGTTTGTTCGGGGTTTTTTTTTATGGGAATGGTCATCCTGGGTTTGAAGTAATAAAAGTGCAGTGAGTTATTCAGGCCAGCAGGATTTAGACCCTTTATTTCCTGAAGTTCCTGGAGCAGAGAGGCACGGTGTTTCACTAGTGGCCGGGAAAAGCACTGTCCGGCAGCAAATGGGCTCTTGACGATACCAGTTCTGGAAGAGTTTTACCACTCTGGTCTGCATCTGTGCCACAGCAGTCAGTTGATGCCTCTTAAAGAGCTTTATATCTGTAACTCCAGGATTTGATGAATAAGGTTTATGTGAACTTTCCTCCTCTTTATTTTAAATGATTCCTCATGTTAAAGGGAGCATTTGTTACCTTTCCTGCTCCCACAGCTCCTCTTTTCTCTCTAGATGATGAACTGGGAGCAGTAACTGTTTTTTTCACTGGCTGAGCTCCATGGAAGTCCCTGCCTTAGTCCGTGCAATAGGAAAGGAAAGGCACTTGCTTACTGTGTAACGTGGCACACTGATGTTTGTTTGGTTCCTTGTCCTGCTCACCAGACTCCAACCTTAACTGTTTTCTGTAATCTCACAGCCTGTTTACCTTTTCACACAGCGTGATCACACTAGCATCGCCTCTCCACTCATGCATGGGGGCAATCGGTGCCCACTGGTTCATCTCTGGGTTGTACCGTTCTGCTGAGATGAGGGACATGAATCCATCAAAACCTCCCATGGCATAGAGCAAATTCCTGAGAATGGCGATGATGACGTGGCCGTACCACGAGTGCATGGGTGCAAGCCACTGCCATGTTTTCTTCAGTGGGTCAAACCGCTTGACGCTGCTGAAACAATCCCTGCCATCAAATCCTCTGATAAGATAGACAAAGCCTTTAAAATAAACTATATTGTGATAGGCAAGGGGGGCTTTCTTGCTGACATTCACCCGCTTGTCTGCACAGGAATCGTATGTCTCCATGGCATTGGTTGGGAACCCCCTGCTCGAGCCTCCGATATCAAACAAGATGGCATAGTGCAGGTGAGGTTGACTGAGCAGGTGGGTGGAATCAGAAGATGGGCCATGCATCTGGAGGTTGGACATTTCTGCCTGTGCGTTTGTGATGAGAACTTTGCAGTTCTTGTTGTCCTTCACATAATCATGTGTTTTGACCTTGCTCAGCAAGTATTCTGCTTGCACCTGTGCCAGTCGAACCTGAAAAATGCCAAAAGGAGGTTAGGATATTAATGCAGATGGCTTTACACCTTGGTATCCTTTGTGGATGGCTCCAAGCTGTGAGCAGCACGAGGAGGCTGCAATTTCCTCCAGTCTCACAAGCAAAGCAAAGCGGCTCTGGCTCAGCTGTCCCATGACAAGCTCTGCAAGGCCGCCCAGGCCCACACCGTGACAGTACCCACGTTGTCCAGGAAGACTGCAATGTGCTGCCTCCTGTCCTGCAGGAGGACACAAAACCTTTATAGTGCTGTTGATTGTCCTACAGTGTGCGTAAAGCCACAGCAATGAAGCTGTCACATTTCAGAATCAGTTCAAGTGTCTAAATTCTTTTATCCTAACACAGAGATTTGCAGCCTTTTAAGGGTGGTATGGCTGGACAAGCTTCCTTTTCCAAATTAGAGCTGAAGTGTGCGGGCATGAGCTCAGCAGAGGTTGGAAATGGTGCTAAAGGGGCAAAATGCAGTTGATGATAGACCAGTGATGCCCATTTCCACGCAGGTAGAGAAGGATTTGAAGCACAGCTGGTCCCTTCTGCTTACCTCAATGCTCATCTCTTAGCCATACCCACTCCCAAAATGTGCCCAAGTTCCCTCCATGCTATGTGATATAAGCTGTCAAATCCTGCACTAGCATAATGATGTTTAAGCTACCGGGCACTTTATGGTGCTGATATATTAGCATGCATAAAATTAGCTAACAATGCAGGATCTACTAGCGTTCATCCTTTTATACCCTTTTGCCTTCAAATTGATAATGTAGCAGAATCCACTTTCCCACCCACCCTTCTCCTTGGGTTTTGAAAGCAATTTTCTTTTCTAAAAAGTGAGTTTCAGGGCACTACCTAACCTTATAGTAGAACAAGTGTTCGTCCATGTGCCTGGTACTTAACTGGGAAAACAGAAGGGACTGAGATAGGGAAAGCGGACAAACAACTGTGCAGGTTTAAATGTGAGAAACAAATGGCATTTCTCAGTTCCCGGCTGCTCTCTACTCACTTGGACAGAGTGGTTCAGTAGGGCCTGACATATGGCTCAGCGTGATGGGAGTGGTACAGCATCCTGCTGTGCTGGTGGTGCATCTCTGCCCCAGCCTTAGATACAGAGACATGGATAAAACACATATGTAAACCTCAGGCAAAGATTCAGAATTATGTGTTTCTGTTCCACAAATTAACATTTACATTACAAGAAGCTCTAACCATCTGCTGAGGCAGCTTTAATCTCTCTTTGAGCTGCTGCTTGGCCTGAGTGTCTGTCCCAAACTCTGTTTTGTTTGCTTTACCCTTTCACTTTTCTAGAGGGGCGGACCGTGAAGGGTGATGGAGCATATTCTGAGGGCGGAGTTGAAGTGGGAAGAAAGGAGCTTTTTCCTCAAAAGATTGTTGAAAACTCTTCCCAGGCAAGTATCATCAGCTACAAGTGTCAATTAAATTAAGAAATGCATGGGGAGAGTAGCGGAGAACATTTAACACTTCTGGCCACACCTGCTGAATGGCTCTCCCCATAGGCAGCAGATAGCACTAGAGACAAACAAAAAAAATTATTCTTCAATCTAGGAGCAAACAAGTTGCACAATGCAAAGCGCATCCCTCGATAACATGAGAGGAAAGCTCTTGGATGTAATGATTAATTTTAACTCTTCTGAGTGCTGGGGGAATTGCACCCATTAAATGAGGCACCAGGAACACCCATGCAGTCTCATGCACTTAGGTCCTGTGTCACATCACCAGTCAGTGTCGATACTGTGGTCTGTTTCTTGCACTGGCCCAGCTGGGTCTGAGGTAAAGAGTCAGGAGTGGAAGCAAACTTTGCTTGATGTTGTGCTGCAGCTGTGGAGTGAGTCTCTGAATGGGAGGCCCATGCTCCAAAACCCCCTGTTGGATGGCTTGATCCTCAGCTTGAGCTTAGCATTGCATTGCCTCTGTCCATCGTGCAGCATTACATGCATGGGGGAGGTCCTAACAGGAGAGCAGAAGTTTGAGGTGTGTAACTGGCATATTGGCTCTGCTGACATGAACACCATATGCCCAGTGGAGCCAGGATTACACCCACGGTTACTCTGGTTTGCCTTGCATCTCAGGGTGTAAATACATTGCAGATGTAAGACTTTGCAGACAACCCCTCAGAAAGTAAAGCAAATGTATGTGTGGGTTTGGGACTGGAGATGAGAAGGACTGTGAGCACACCATCAACCAGAACAGCGCAGCAGTGATTAGTGCTTCAGCATGTCACCAACCCCTGTGGCCAACCTGTTGGGGCTTGGAGTCTCCCTACTACTCCAAGTAGCACATAGCACAAAGCTTGGGAAGGGGAGGGGGGACTGCTCATAATAAATAATTTGGAAGTATTTAATGAGCTAGAGAGGATTTCTTGGAGGATCATTTATCCTCTCTCACCTCTTCTGTTTACTTCCAAATGGTATCTTAATTGCTTTTCTCCTACTTGTCCCTCAATTAAAGCCTCTCTTCACTTTCGCCTTTATTTTCAGCAGATGACTTAATTTTCCTTATTTACTTCTTAATTAATGATCTGGCACTTTTTGCCTTCTCTAAACTCATTGCATTGAAAACTGTCCTTAACTACTGTTCCTTGGGAGCAGGAAAATGAAATTTGTTTGCTCCAGACAAAATTAATCTGACTCTTCACTGTGTTTCCTTTCTTCTAATGAAGCCAATGTAGCTTAAATCATTGATTGCATAAAATTATTTTCTGGGATCAGATACCCCTTCTTCTGTCATTTATGGTAATGCAGATACATTAAAGTTAGTTCTCTTCTGTGATCAGTATTTTTCTGCAGGAGAAATCAGTACCTGCAAGAATTGTTTGTGGGATTTAAACAATAGTAGTGTTTTCTACAGTTTTTCACAGGTCTACAATTTTTCCAGTGTCTTTTCTGTGGATGTCCTCTTGGCTATGTGCAGCAGATGTGCATATAACTCTTGAATAGCAAAGTGAGATACATGTAATATATGTGCTCACTGAAAAACTAACAGTGTAGAAAAAAAGGCAATGTACTCACTGGCATGGCTTTTAAACAGATGTAATTTATTCACTTCCTCATAGGTCTGAATCATTTATTTGCTGTGATTTTTTCAAGTAGCACTCTATTTCTAGCTTTTAGCCATATCATCAGTTTGTGAGTAGGTGAAGGTGAATGTGATGCCTACTGCCTGTTTTCCAATTATGCTTAAAATATCATCACACAGAGAATACTAGATTTTGGGTTTCCCAGGGGCAGAGCTGGCCCACAGCTGTGAGCAGGTTGCCCCAGGGCAATTCTGTCTCAATCGTTCCGTACTACAAACCCACTCTATCCCAAGTCTTTCTGCATCATTAAGTGGGGCTGCTTCTCATTACCTAAACAGGATAGTCTTGTGCACAACCTAACAGGTTTTCCATGTGGAGAAGCACACAGCTAACCAATCAGTCTACAGGGGCATTACGTTCTTCAGGAGACCATTGATCACCACACAGAAGTGGACAGCAGCCTCCTGGGAGACCAGGTAAGCAGTGAATGAGTAAGACCGTGCTCACATATTTATGTTGACAGTCAACCCCTTATTCACCAGCTGCTGATACTACTGAAACCCAAGACTACACACAGATCAAAGAAGAGTGAATGGGAAGACTTGAATTCTATGGAAAGAAATTTTCCATATTCTCTGATTGAAAACTGTTCATAGCATCTCATGAGACATACAGGAGACATCCCAAATGAATGATGTATCTTTAGTGCAAAGCGACACTGTGGTGCTGCTGAAGGTAGAGGCAGTTATTTGTGTTCAGCCACATGACACAAATCATTGCACTCAACAACTTTTTTGCCTCAGTCTTCACTGGCAAACTCTCCCTCCACACCTCTTGACCGCAAGGCAGGGACTGGGTAAGAAAAGTCCCTCCCACTGTCAGAGAAGATCAGGTTCATGACCACCAGGGGAACCAGAACATACAGAAGTCTGAGACCAGATGAGATGCATGCCAGAGTCCTGAGGGAATTAGCTGGTGTAGTTGCCAAACCACTCTCTGTGATATTTGAAAAGTCATGTCAGTCAGGTAAAGTCCCCGGTGACCAGAAAAAGGAAAACATTGCACCCATTTTTAAACTGGGTAGAAAGGACAACCCTAGGAACTACCAACCTGTCAGCCTCACCTCTGTGCCTGGGAAGATCATGGAACAGATCCTCCTAGAAGCTCTGCTAAGGCATATGGAGGACAGCAAGGTGATTCAAGACAGCCAGCTTGGCTTCACCAAGAGCAAGTCCTGCCTGATCAACCTCATGGCCTTCTATGATGGAGTAACTACATCAGCGGACAAGGGAAGAGCTATGGATGTGGTCTATCTGGACTTCTGTAAGGCCTCTGACACAGTCCCACACAACATCCTTCTCTAAATTGGAGAGATACGAATTTGATGGGTGGAATGTTTGGTGGATGAGAAATTGGTTGGATGGTCACATCCAGAGGGTAGTGGTCAACAGCTCAATATCCAGATGGAGATCTGTGACAAGTGGTGTCCCTCAGGGGCCTGTACTGGGACCAGTACCGTTCAATATCTTCATCAATGACACAGGCAGTGGGATCAAGAGCACCCTCAGCAAGTCTGTGGATCACATCAAGCTGAGTGGTGTGGTTGACACGCCTGAAGGATGGGATGCCATCCAGAGGGACCTGGACAGGCTTAAGAAGGGGGCCTGTGTGAACCTCCTGAGGTTCAACAAGGCCAAGTGCAGGGTCCTGCACCTGGGTAGGAGCAACCCAGGGTATCAATACAGACTGGGAGAAAAAGGGATTGAGAACAGCCCTGCCAAGAAGGACTTGGGAGTGCTGGTGGACCCAGAGTGCTCAGCATGACCCAGCAACGTGCGCTTACAGCCCAGAAGGCCAACTGTATCCTGGGCTGCATCAAAAGAAGTGTGGCCAGCAGGTTGAGCGGGGTGATTCTGCCCCTCTACTCCACTCTGGTGAGACCCCACCTGGAGTACTGTGTCCAGCTCTGGGGCCATCAGCACAGGAAAGACATTGATGTGTTGGAGCAGATCCCGAGGAGGGCCACAAAAATGATCAGCGATGTGTTGGAGCAGATCCTGAGGAGGGCCACAAAAATGATCAGAGGGGTGGAACACCTTTCCTGCAAGGACAGGCTGAGAGACCTTGGGTTGTTCAGCCCAGAGAAGAGAAGGCTCCAGGGACACCTTATTGCGGCCTTTCAGTACTTAAAGGTGGCCTACAGGAAAGATGAGGACAAAGTTTTTATCAGGGCCTGTTGCAAAAGGACAAGGCTTTAAACAAGAAAAGTGAAGATTTAGACTAGATATAAGGAAGAAATTTTTCACACTGAGGGTGGTGAAACACTGGAACAGGTTGCCCAGAGAGGTGGTAGATGTCCCATCCCTGGAAACACTGAAGGTCAGGTTGGACAAGGATTTGAACAACCAGACCTATTGCAATATGTCCCTGCTCATTGCAGGGGGGTTGGTCTAGATGACCTTTTAAGGTCCCTTCCAACCCAAACTATTCTGTGATTCTATGATTGTCTTTTATGTTTGAATTCT